GCAATCACTTAGATGCCAACCCATTATCTCATACAAAGTGACGTCAAGATAAAAAATCGACAGGATGCACGTTCGCTTTATTTCTTCATAATTCTTCATCGTTCAGACTTTTCTATCCTATTGGGTTGATTTTGTCATTATCACCTAATGACAAAACCGCAATCTCTTAGTTGCCAACCCATTATCTCATACAAAATAACGCCAAGATAAAAAATCAACAGAATGCACGTTCGCTTTATTATCTTCATAATTCTTCATCGTTCAGACTTTCTATCCTATTGGGTTGGCAACTAAGTGATTGCTGATTTTGTCATTAGGTAGTATTGATAAAGTCCGCAAACACTTAGTTGCCAACCCATTATCTCATACAAAGTGACGTCAAGATAAAAAATCGACAGGATGCACGTTCGCTTTATTTCTTCATAATTCTTCATCGTTCAGACTTTTCTATCCTATTGGGTTGATTTTGTCATTATCACCTAATGACAAAACCGCAATCTCTTAGTTGCCAACCCATTATCTCATACAAAATAACGCCAAGATAAAAAATCAACAGAATGCACGTTCGCTTTATTATCTTCATAATTCTTCATCGTTCAGACTTTCTATCCTATTGGGTTGGCAACTAAGTGATTGCTGATTTTGTCATTAGGTAGTATTGATAAAGTCCGCAAACACTTAGTTGCCAACCCTATATTTCATACAAAGTGACGTCAAGACAAAAAACCAGCAGAATGCCCGCTCGCTTTACTTCTTCATAATTCTTCATCGTTCAGACTACTCTATTCTATTTGGTTGGTAACTAATGACAAAATCCGCAATCACTGCCAACCCAATATTCTACGCAAAGAACGCTAACACGATGGGACACGGTGTAGGAAATTCGTAACGTCCAATGGAAATAAGACGAGAGAATTATATCGTTGCGTTTTATACTCTCGGTTATGTAAATCGAAGGGTTGAGGGTTCAGAGTCGTGCGCAAGCGATTCTCTTAATTCCTTTTCCGCCTACTTTTAATTGATTCAATTAGAAGGGCAAATACACGATTAAACAAAGCCCCGGATACTTTTGAAATGCCGTGAAACGCAACACTTCGGTAACGTTTCCCCCGGCAGTACTTGGAGAACCAGCCATCGGCAAGTTTTACTCATTAAGTAAGGCATTATCATGGCCGCAACGTCTAAAGCAACGTTCTGCAACGATATGCAATCAAGTGCACAGACGAGCGGCTCACTTAAATTACTGCTGCAGAGTTATCGAACGTAGGACGAGAACTTGGCTCGTTAACGCGGTGGCCTCGGAATCACACGGGCCAACTTTCAAATTCACAGATACCGATATGCGTCGATTTTCCAATCGGTTAATGACCGCGCGCGGAAACGCCAAATTTTTTTTTTTGTTTCCTGGGATTTTTAATTGACGCGAAACTATATTTTTCCACGGCGAATAAAATTCGACTGGTAATGAATCACCCGATATATCTTGCGAAACGTTCCCATCTCCCTTTCGAATCTTTCAAAATCCAAAAACCGGTGATTATTAGGGTTCAGAGAGAGAGAGAGAGAGAGAGAGAGTAATTTTTACAGAGTCGAAGAACAGAGTGGTCGTGGAATGCCAAGAAACAAGTTACCTTCGAGGAGGAAAGAAAACTTGCGCGTTCATATAGTGGAAATTGATGAGAAAGAAAAGCGTATGAGTAGAAAACACTGTCGCGTCTTAATCGCGAAGAAAGTTCAACGTTTCGCTTTAATTTAGACAGATCGTTTGACAGTTGATTTAGAAATGTGGAAAGATAATTAACTAACAATCTATTGCTACTTTTTTTTCTTTTTTCTCCTTTTCTTACAGCTTCCTATAGAGACGACGTTGCGACACCATATAATTAGCATTATTAGCATTATTATTCTAATATTTGGAAAGAGAAATTCCATTTAATCCCACGGAGTATTCTGATTGATGTGTAGAAGATTTCCCAATAAGAAGAGAAGATTTTTCAATTTGTACCACTTGCAGCGTGTTTTCTACGAGTATTGCAAAGCTACTCGAAGAGAGAAATTCGAATGCTATTTTAATTTGCCAATCAGATAGACGCAATTAACTGGTGAAATGAAAGTAGACATCAGGATCGTGGGAACGTAAAGAACGAATATCAGTTTGAGAATTCTGTAAGGAAGCTGAAAAAGTAGCTCATCCAGCGTTCTTCGTGCTGTTCTTGTGAAAATGAATAATCGTAGCAGCTATTCAGACGATAATCCGAGTAACGACAAATATAATCGCATGAAACTTGTATCGTATTTTCTCCACGTATGACCAAATATTTGTGACAAATTTTAAGTCGCTCGATTTATAATAATCTACTATCTTTTATTTGTAAAAACTCGCTCAGAAATACAAGAAATATTACCTTGAATTTATTTATTTCATTTGAACGATCGCTGAGATATTTTGGACAAGAGAATTTCTGAAGATCAATTTATTTCGTTGATGGATCGGTGTCGGAAGAAGATGAAGATTAAACGTAACATATAATTCGACCATCGCCACTGTTCCATTTTTCCACTCACTTTTCTCAACTTTCCCATCGCGTTTCGGATAAATCTCTTGGTAAGATCTTTACGTTCTTTACTTTACTTTACTTTACTTTACTTTACTTTACTTCCTCAAGATACGCAAGATACTTCAAGATAAGAAAGTCGAAGAATGGCCATTTTTTTACATTCTTCTCTCACATTGGGAAAGTGGTTGTTCCATTGTACGAAAATTCCACGATTCGCGCAGCTTCGTCTTTCTGTTATTCAGTTGGCAACTAAGCGATTGCGGATTTTGTCATTAGGAGGTATTGACAGAATCCGCAATTACTTAGTTGCCAGCCCAATAGCTGGGATAATTCCAGTTTCAGCGAATGGCAAAGAATCGTTTAAAATGAAACTTCCTTCGATTTATTACCGATTTATGTTACGTTTCTATATTAATTTATGTGTCTTATCTTCTTATTTTCTACGTTTTATTTTCACATTTCTTTGCTTTCTTTATACATCTTTATTTACGTACTTATATACAGGGTAACGTGTACAAACAGACACGAGGTTATTCCTCATGAAAGAATAAGAACAAAATATGAAATACAAAGTATACGTTTGGAAGTAACGAACGTTTTTCGTTCAAGGTTTAGTCTGCGAGAAAATCGAGTTTGACAATTTATCGATATTTATATTTGAACGCGGTTAATTCCGGACCAGACAGCACTAGATAATCGACAAGAGGTCGTTCTATTGTGTTGGCAACTAAGTGATTGCGGCTTTTGTCATTACAATCTAATGGCAAAATCCGCAGTCACTTAGTTGCCGACCCAATACACGTGAAACTAAGTCGAAAGTGCGGAATAAAATTTCTTCTCAAGACGCTTTGTTAATTGCTTGTAAAATAAATTTGCAAATTTATCATACGCACGTAAACACCAGATCGATTCTCAACTAAACGTGTTCGAACTGCATTTTCTCGAAGATAAAACTTCGAACGGACAAATTTTATTTCACATCTTTTTACTTACAATCCTACCGATTGTTTGTTCGTACTCAGTCGGTAGTTAGCCACGTTCAAGTATAGCGGATAAATTTCAAACTAGATTTCCCCAAAAACTAAACCTTAGATCAACAAACTTTGTCGCATATTTTGTTCTTATTTTTCCATATTTATTTATATACTTTATATATACAGGGTGGTTGGTAACTGGTGGTACAAGCGGAAAGGGGGTGATTCTACGCGAAAAAAGAAGTCGAAAATATAGAATAACAATTTTTTTTTTAATTTTTAATTTTTCCATCAAGACAACGATCTACAGTGAGATTCATTATAACGAGACGCGATAAAGAGCACGCGTACCGAGCGAAAATTCAAAGTCGATTTTCTCGAAAAC